GGAAAGATAGATGGGCGGATAGAAGTGACAAGAAGACGAGGAAGAAGACGTAAGAAGATGCTGGATGACCTTGGGGACAGAAGAGGATACTGTCATTTGAAGGAGAAAGCTCTAGATCGCATTAATTGGAGGAATTGTTTTGAAAGAGACTGTGGACCTGTCGTCTTGACAGATTACTGATGATGATGATGATGATGATGAATATTGGCATGGTTTTATTATTTTTATGCACCACTTTAGTACATATGTTACCACTATAACTTAAATTATAATGATCTGGGCTTTAATTATATAGAACATTATAAATTCAGTGCTGCTTATTGTAGGAAAAATTTTAAATTAGGTGCATATTTGGACAGGAAAAACTAAAATTTTTAGATGTCAATTTGTGGGGACATCAATATAAATTACTTAATTGATAGTAATAACAAGAAACAAACGGATGTTCTATTATCTTCTTTTAAACTTTCTAGTATAGTAGATTTTCCTACTAGGATCCAAACCAACTCAGGCTCTGTTATTGATATTTTTACTGATCTTCACAGACATGGAAATTATATATCCTGATGTTAATGGACTGTCTGACCATGACGCCCAGATCTTATATATGAATAACATTGTTTTACATAACCAAAATAGCTGTAGGCATTTTGTCAGGAAATTCAATAAAGCTTCTGGAAATGAGTTCTTGACTCAATTAAGTTACGAAACTTGGGATAGCGTATTTGTTGATCAGGATATTGATTCAATTTTCATCTCATTTCTTAATACTTATTTAAAAATATTTAATTTTAGCTTCCCTAAAAAACTAGTTATGAATAATACGAAATATAACCCTTGGATGATGAGGGGCATAAAGACCTCATGTCAACATAAAAGAGCTCTATTTGTCCATGAAAACCAGTAATGATAGAAACCTTAAATCCTATTTTAAAACTTAACTCTAAAATTCTGTCTAATGTCATCAGGGCAGCCAAAAATCTTTATTATAATGGATTAATTTCGAATTCTAATAATAAAAATAAAACCACATGGAATATTATTAAAACGGTTACTGGTAAGAGAATCAATAATACTGAAGTGTAGTTCTTAAATGTTGAATGGAAGCTAACTGATAGTCACTAATTAATTGCCGATTCTTTAAATAACTACTTTCTGACTATAGTAGATAGAATTAACAGCAATAATGCTAAGAGTGATCATTTTATAGAGTTTGATATTGATAAACATTGGAGTTGTTTATCTCAGGCTTTTCCGACTCCTTTCCCTGAAATTAAACTTAAACCTACATCTACTAAAGAAATTGAAAATAGAATTAAGTCATTTAAACCCAAAAACTGTAATGGGTATGATGAAATTTCAGTCAGTATTCTAAAAACTAGCACACCTGCTGTTATTTCTCCTTTAACTTATATCTGTAACAAGCGTACTTTCAACGGGTGTTTTCCCCACTCATTTGAAATACTCTGAACTAATACCATTATTTAAAAATGGTGATAAAACGAATATGATTAATTATAGACCTATATCATTATTTACATTCTTTTCAAGTTATTGTAAGATTGCTCCATCACATAAAGAATAACAATATATTATCAAATCTCCAATATGGTTTCAGGTGTGATTCATCCACAGAACTTGCTTCATATAATTTAATTAATGAAATATTAAAGGCCTTGCATAATAAAATACCAGTTGGAGGAATTTTTTGTGACATAAATAAGGCCTTGGATTGTGTTAATCATGAAGTTCTGTTATCTAAATTGAAGTTTTATGGAACAGTAGGAAAAGCTAATGCGTTACTGGAATCCTCCCTTCATGGTAGACATCAAAGAGTTGTAACTAATAAGAAGTGCACTCACTCAAGTTGGGGTAAGACTGACAGTGGTGTTCTCCAGGGATCAATCTTAGGTCCCTTACTGTTTTTGTTATACATTAATGATCTGCCAAATATTATAAAGAGTAAATCAATACCTATTCTCTTCGTAGATGATACCAGTATTATTATTGTTAAGAATTTTAATTGTACAGAGTATGAAAACGAACTAAATTTAATACACTCAACTCTCGATTATCCGGGGGCGGATAAACTGCTCTGCGGCTTAACCAGGGCTTTTTTGAGGCTTATATGTTATTTAATATTCATTCACTTTTGTTTCACATAGTGAATTGTAACACTATTTTCGCACTAGTGTGAACTGAGCTCTGCATTTTTTGGTCCCGTTATGCTAACACAATGTTCTAGGGTAGGGGTGAAAGAATGCAAGGATTTGTGGAAACTTTCAAGGACAGATACACTGCCCCAGTTAGTCTCTTTTTAATGATCTTCAGGTGTGTTAGCAAAATGTCAGGGTGTAAAAGGAAGCATGTTGTGTTAAGTATTCAACAGAAACTTGAAATTATCAATCAGTTGGGAAAAAGAGGTGTAGTTAAACAATTAGCAATGCAATATGGTATTGGAGAACAAACTGTTCGTGATTTGAAAAAACAAAAGAATCAATTCATCACTAATGAAGATAACGAAATCCATGGATTCACTGGGTTTAGTGAAAATGAGAGAGCCATAGAATTGACAAAATTGGCTAACCAAGTTCCTGGAGGTGAAGAAGTCAATGAGGAAAATATAAGAGAGTGGTTTGACTGTGACTCGTGTTAGCCGGGCTTCAAAATGTTAAGCAATAACGAAATCACAGGTTCAGTGGGGGTGCAGCCAGAAGAGCGGGGAGAAAGTGAGAATGAGGAAGAGGTGGACAGTGCTGCTAGTAAGAAAATATCATATGGTGCTGTTCTTAATCATTTGGAATCCTCAACCAAGAATAGTAATACAATGGATATACCTATCATTTATAGTAACAGTCAAATTGCTACAACCGCTGATATTAAGTTCCTCGGTCTGTTGATTGATAATACCCTATGATGGAAAGGACACATTGACTGGCTCATGTCCAAACTGGGTTCAGCTTTCTATGGAGTTAGGGCTATTAAACCCTACATGTCCTTAGAATCAATGAGTTTGGTATATTATTCATATTTTCATTCTATTATGACATATGGGCCGATTTTCTGGTGTAATTCGCCCCTCTGCATCCGTATATTTAGACTACAGAAGAGGGTAATAAGAGTGATCACCAATTGTAGAAGTAGAGATTCTTGTAGGGAGCTGTTTAAGAGACTAAAGATTCTGCCCCTTCACTCACAGTACATTTTTTCAATTTTGTTATTTGTAGTCAAAAACAAAGACCTATTTTTATCTAATTCTGAGATTCAAACAATCAACACAAGACATAGTAATAACCTCCATTATCCCTCGTGTAACTTAACTGTCTTTCAAATTCATTTTATTCATTGGACGAATATTTTAACTGTGACAACAATTAATGTTTTGGATTTCTTATGGGTGGTAGTTGATAGCGCTTTACTGTTATAGATGATGGTTTTTGTTCCTGTTGTATATTGTTAATATTTTTAACTGGTATGACATTACACAATTGTAATGCAGTATGTGATGTTTACTCATGTTGACTATGTCTATATCCATTGGTGTTTAACCATGTAAGGATTTATGGAATGCTGAATGAATGAACTAGCCAGTGTATGTCACTTTATGGGTTCACTTCATAACTCATTTTCCTTATGGGATGTACACTACTGTATTTATTTACATAATACCCTCATGTACCTCTGCCACTCTGGTTTCAAGTAAGAAACAAACTGTTTGACAGCTCCTCTCCTCCCAATAACTCTTCAGTATTTATTTTGTTGCAGTCTGTATGAGTGAGACTGTTGACAATGCATAATCTAAAACTGCAAAAACTAAATTGAAAAAAATTCTATGACATTACTACAAGATGTCTGAGTTAAAAAAAGAGGTACTGCTTAATAACTTGTTTGGATATAACTTGTATTACTGCAGTGAATGAAAATACTAGTTTTCATATTAGAATCATAAAACATGCATTTACTCTTTTCAAACATTTTATACTAATCTCCATGTTCTAATACTGCTACTTTTACACTCTTTAAATCGTTCCAGCTCTCATCAAAAAGTTCAAAGAGCAGGAAGAATGTGAGGGCAATTATGCAAGTAAATACAATATCTGACATTTAACACACGAGTTTAACAAAAGAGCACAGAACAAGCTCTAAGTTTGTTCAGGTTTTAAGAACACTGACATACTTATCGGCATACATTTGTAGGTTCAACTTGTATCAAGGAACAGTTACCCCTCTTGAGAAGAAAAAACAGAAAATTAAAGGGCATGCCTTTGAAGTCAACCCTAAAGTATCAGTGGCTATGTGACAAAGCTTGGTTTCATCTTAGTGGTTCTGTGAACGCCTAGAACAGCGAACACTGGGACAGCCAAAATGCCCACACAGCACATGAAGTGGTTGGAAAATAATTGGGCCTCAGAGCATTATGTGAAAAATATTTTGAAATTGTTCTTTCAAATGCTCATTTAAGAGTAGCAATGTGTGTAACTGCAGCAAGATAATGAAACCACCCATATATGACTACATTCTATGGAGGCCCTTTGTGGCATTTTCAATGAAAGAATTAGCCAGGGACTACTGGTGCCTCATTTGCCAGATTTGGTGCGCAATTTTTCCGTGAGCTGCAGAGAGTTTCCAAAATCACTTATGCCAGTGCCATACGTGTTCCAAGGCAGATGAATACTACTTTCAGGGGTTTCTTTAAAATACAGGTAAGACAAAATCTTACCAACATGATTCAAGACGCTGCAACCATGCTGTGAGGTTTATACAGTGCTCCCTGCTAAAGCATCAGCTATGGTTTGGATGAACCTGCGAAATTGTCCCTGACTCTAGTATGGTCTTGAAGTTCTTGTAACAATAGGTTTTAGAGTTCAGAATATGCATATGCAGTCAATTATAGAATTTCTACCTAAGGAAACCATAAACTTTTCCAAATTTGTACTACATTTTATCTCTACATGACTAGTAACAAACTCACAGCTTTCCACAAAAAAAAACTGTAGCCATTCTTCTACTGTTTATAAACCACCTCTCAATGCTTTATATTTCAAGAATAAATTACACAGTGTTAGTAACAAACAACAGTTATGGAGCTGAATATAAATAACTTTCTTATTCAGTAACATCATATTTACAATTACATCTGCTATGAAAACTACAGTTTAGTAGTGAATCCAGAAATTGTGCTCTTCTTCATTACACTGTACAACACGTTTGGTGGGTGTTACAGACACCAAGTATCTCCTGATATTCTGAATAAGAACTTCAAATGATTTTCAGTACTAAAATGCAGGCAACACATCTAAAATAATCTTGGGCTATACAAATTCAGCATGACTGGGCCATGCATGCTTCTCTTTTCTATGCTCAAATAATTATCATTACTAAGTGTTACAGATGTTTCAATTAACGAAGACTGTTAATAATGGCATATGTATATTCATTTGTGGTTGACTGCCCACCCAAGTCCTTTGTTCTAACCTGTAAACAAAGGAAACATAAATCTTTACATTCAGTCTATTTTTGTAAAATATGTTATAATATGCCACACATTTGTTACACACATCTTACACACAATAAAAAAAAAACTTCAGGTTATTCCCTTGTCACTAACAGGGAGTTTGAAAAGATGGCATACGAATCACTAGTAGCATACTCTGAATATTGGGACAGAAGGATTACTCGTGTGAAATATAACAACATGTTACAAATATTACTGTGGTAATAATCACTGTTTAAACTGATGGTATATGATGATACTTTATTTACAACTCAACATATATTAATTTGCTACATGTAAGCTCACCAAGTGAAAGACTGTGTGTTATAGTTATGCTGAACTGTAGTTAAGGTGTTGAGTAATAAAGTGACATCGCAAAAGAATACACTCCTCAAAGTCTTGTTTCATGACAGCAACTATTTGTTTTACTGCAGAGATAAACAGCTTAAACATACAGAGTACTGTCTTTTGGCACATGATGACATGTGGTCTGGCAGATGGGCACCAACATTTCAAAAAAATCCCACTTCAATCATCTCCAAGGTACCTTGGAAGACTGTTGGCTACCTGCCAAACCTCACACAGCTTAAACATACTTTCAAAATGCCTTGTGTTAATCACATCCGAGTTAGAGGCTATAATCATCCATGAAGTATATACCAACCTTGCCTGCCTTGAGAACCCTGTTCACAGCATTGCGTATCATGTCACAGTAATACTGGAGATTAACGTGGCTTAGCATTTTTGCTGAACACAGAAGCATTGCTGTAGGATTTGCTACATTCTTTCCTACTGCTTCAGAGTATGTATGCCTTGCACCCTTACAAAAAGAAAGAAGAAAAAACAATGTTGAAAACATCAACCAACACATTATTCTGTTGACTAAGACAATAAGGCAATGTGGACAGAACCTGAACTTGTAAGAAAGTGTTATAATTCAGAGGAACAATATTAGACTGGAAACAAATAAGCATATGATAAGGTCATTAATCCTTCCTTTCTTTCTTGCTTTATTCAACATTACAGCACCTACATAAGATCTAAAAGTTTTTAATGATGGTACATTAGTAAAAGCAAAAAGTAAGTAAAGCTATCCCTGTAACAGGCCATGAAGGCCCATAGGGTTGTGAGACGTTGAGGGTCCCACATTATCTAGACAATTGGCTCATAGATGGCGGTAAGGTTGTCAGCCTTACATGCCGGTCGCACTTTACTCCCCAGCAGAATTATTTAATTAATTCCTGGTACTCATTTCTGAAGGATTAGGTCAACTGAAAGAAATCCAATGACCCCATCCAGACTTGAACCTGCAATTCCAGCTTGTAGCATAGTGCCTCAACCAACTACTCTACCGCGAGCCCCAATGGTACATGAGTATAAATATTACAAATTTTGTGTGTCTGGACATTATCCAGTGTTCTGTTATTATCTAAAACACCATCCTCTTTATATTTCAAAACTGGATTCTGTCTGTCTTCAGACGAAACCTACTCAGTTGAGCCCAATCAATAGAGCTAGTCCCTATCTCCAAACTAATGCTATTGACTGGGCCCAACCGAGAAGTTTTTACCTGAAGACGGAGACGGAATCCAGTCTCCGAAATGTTGTGTTTCGAAATATAAACAGGACAATGGAAAATGTCCAGAAACATACTATCTGAATACCTACATAGTTTGTAAGATTTGAGGTTATAAATGCTGCCACCAACTCCGCACGAGATAACAATGATTGCTTTCCGAATCCAGCAAGAAAGAACCTTCCTTTTCTTTGCCTAGAACTAGGAATGGATAGTCCACTGATGTTTAACAGACTTCTGCCTTCATGTCGCTTGCATTCTTGCTATGAAACTGAAGAACGAACTGCATTCGTTGAGAAGAAAACGAACTAAATGAACAATTTCTGAATCTCAGCCAGCTTCTCCAAAATTCTGATGTTGATTAGCTTTAGTTGTGTGACAGGAAAATTAATAATTATTTTCACAGGTAGGATATTTCTTGAAAGAATGCAATAAGAATTATGATAAATCATATCTTCAAACTCATTAGTCGAAAAATAAATTGTGATTCCAGTGATATACCTACGGCATAAGTGGAAGAAGAAAGATGATTTAATAGGGGTTAATATTGTGACATGAAGCCTGAAAGCCGGAATATTTCATTGTTGGGCAACGGCTCCGTAAACACATTCCCGCGGAAGCGAACCTGCTCAAAAATAGAAGAGCAGTGTTTTATGTAGTCAGCGGCACCCTCATTGCTACACAACAGTGTGGTAAACATATCTCTGCAGCAGTGAATCAACACGCAACAATAGAGGAAGGGATGTTTTCTGTGGGTTCGCCCCAAGGATATATAATGAGGATCTCAGGCAGATGGAATTAGAATTGAGTCTCTGGAGTCAGCAGTTGGCAGGTTATGAATGGATGTTTTTGAAAATGCATAGGAATGTTTCAAGAAGTTCCATGTCTTAATTCATTGTTCCTTGTGGCCTTGAAACACATAACAAAGCGATTTAAGTAGAATGGGTGCCAGAAGTTTCACCAAAAGAAGAAACACATTGAAATCGCAAGCACAGATAAATTATCTCACTGTATGCTTCTGTTATCATTGACACCAGCCCATCACTGCTATTCACATATGAACAGTCTTTTCTTGTAAAATCATACATTTGTATTCTAAAATATCCATGCATAATGTAGGAGGTACACTCAAACTGATATCATACCAGCATTAGAGGGCCCCAGGTCTTACCAATCATATCAATACAGACAACAGGATTTCGAGGTCTATCTCATGAAATATTCATAGTGCACTTTTCTTTACATGTACGTGTACTTCACCCTATTTGTCATCAGGGTCTAAACGCCTAAACACTGAATACAGGGATGTGGCGAGGAATGACATGACAAAGTCTAACAATTACAAAGGGAAATAAATCATTTAAGACCCACTGCTTAGCCATATTCCAAAAAATACGTGATTTTTTGCAAAAAGCTAATGGAATCAATAAAACACCTCAACTGATTTAACTGGTCACCCAATCAAGTCTCAAACACTAGGGACATTCCAAATATGGAGTAATAACCACTTTATTGGTTATGTCTGATAACGTCTCAATGCAATTTCAACCTCAAAGGAACTATGTTCCAGTATTATTGGCTCTGGTGCAAGCATATCGGTCCACCTTACATTACTAGATAATTTGTATGCATTGCATCCTGTTCTGTATGTCACTACTATGTAAATATGCCCAATGATCATAATTTTATAATTTTAATAAATGACTGACAGACTAAATTGTCAATAAAATCAGTTAGTCTTATTAAGGTGTTATTATGCTTCATGTTTCAGTCATTTACAAACATCATCAGGCATTTGTAAACAACAAAAGACGTCTACACTCAGTATTAGACTGCATGTCGCAATGAATCCATTGATAATGGCTAAAAGTAAAAGTTTTTACATATAATTAATGTTTAAATATATTGAAATACTTTCAGAAACAGATAATAGGCTGAATATGTACATACAGGTTCAAAGACGACACATTCCGCACTGTAACTGGCTCCTGCAACAACACCAGCTCCTCCAACCAAACCAGATGCCAAGTTGTCCACAATGTTGCCATACAAATTAGGTGTTACCATCACGTCAAACTGACGTGGATTGGAAACCATTTGCATGGTGCAGTTATCCACAATCATTGTTTCAAATTCAATCCTAGGATAGAGTTTTGCCATCTGTATGAAGAAACAGAAATAATGAGACTTGACAGAGTTTATTACAAGAAATTATGGAAAAATACAAAGCACCAATATGAACGAAAATCAGAACACGCATCATCATGCATACCAAGATAAACACTGGCACCAACACTAACCTACAAGTGGAATTTGGCACTAGTGATACATCTGAAATATACAACACAAAAATGTAAATAACAAAAATATGACAAAAAAATTATCACGACCCTTTGCAGGTGATGCACACACTATAACTCTGATGAGGTCATTGGATTTTCTCAATTTACCTAATCCTTCCAGCCACACTACAGCCCTGGGGTTGACTCTACCTCTAACAGAATTTTCCTGGGGGTAAAGGACAGCTGGCACATAAGGCTGAAACCTTATCACCATCTGTGAGCCAACTGTCTAGAAAATGTGGGACCCTCAATGTCTCACAACCCTATGGGCCTTCCCAGCCTGTTACAGGGATTGCTTCACCTTACCTTTTATTAATATGAGGAGAGAAGAATGAAGAAGGGGCTTGCAGTATTGAAACTGTTTCCTTCATGTATGGTCTTTCATCCTGGCCTTTGTTCATCCATATTCTTTCACGGGAGCACCCAGTAAGCAGAAATTTTTTCCCCAAATGATAAATGATGGAGAAGACATATGGTTTAATGCAAACAAAGTTGGAGACCTAGCATTCCTCACATTAACAAACCATTAACTTTGCAAGAGTTGAGAGAAGGTGAAGGTACGCACAAAAGTATGTAAAGTACCTCTTTATCCTTTACATACAGAGAGCACATGATACACTCACGCGGTCCTCCTATTTTGTTACCATACAATTCAACAATCACATACCTCTTGACAGCTCTTCAGGAAGAGTCCATCGCCCAATTTCATGATGTTTGCTTTGTGGACTGCTGTCACCTTCTTACGTTTGTTCTTTGTTGCATAATCAAAGGCAAACTTCGCTATGCGCTCTGATTTGGCTTTTGTCACAATCTTCAAACATTCTACAACACCCTGTAAAATGCACCATCATTCCTTTCTAAATACACACTGGCTAGTACTCTCTTACTCAGTTTTAGCTGAAACATACACTACATCAGCAGATGTGTGACTTTTGATGCCTGACACAATACTGGTACACATCACCTGTTTGATAGCAGGCATACCAGCTGAAGAAAGCCCTGGCTGGGTTCATATAAAATTATACTCTACAGACACTACATTACAGTCAACAGTAACAATCACAGGTTTACATACTTTACAGGCACATGATTACAGCAGTCAAACATTTCTCAGTAATATAAATTCATCCATACAATAGGTGTGAACTGTTTAGTGTTGGAAATAAATGTTTAATTTTTGGCAGGAGGCTGCTGTAGAAGTATGTATGCAATGCTTTACAGCAGGAGCAACTGTTAAGAGTAAAACCTAAAAATAAGCTCACTGTCATCATTTCCACATGAAAATGTACCTGCCATTACATATAAGCATCACACTGCATAAGATACCCATACACAGTAGCCCAGGTTTGATTCCAAGTCAGTCACATCTAATTAATGGTAGACAAAATAGCACTGGGGCAGTTTTCCCCAAGTACATCAGTTTCCCCAGCCAAATCTTATTCCATCAAGTGTTCTGCAGTCTACCATCCTATCATTCAACACTACTTAGTCTCAATATTGATAGCCCTGTTAAATAATCAGCTTAAAAAAAAAAAGATTCACATGAGGTGCATACAGAAATGTATATTCATTCCAGATTCTGCTCTGAGGACTCCTTGGGCCTTGTCATTAATATTGTAATTGGCCTCTGTAAGCATCCACAGCATGCAGATAGAAGGACACAATGTCAAGTATTATATAAAGAATGACCTTCAAAAATGCCTACATAAATACACAGTGTGTCCAGGTTCTGTTAGGACATTAAAAATACAAGACGTGAATTATTTTCCAAATTTCACTCTTTTTATTCGAAATTTGTCATTTGTCATCTATTTATAGTTCCAAAAAATCCATAGAGGCATCTGCCTCAGATATAGAACAAGTCAATAATACAATATAACATATAAATATACATACATAATTATGTATGTATATGATGACTGTCTGATTATAATCAGACAGTCATCATTGTCAAAATTTAAATATTCAATACAACAAAACTACTGTACAACAATATATTCATATATCAAAATAACATTTAAAATTACATACATGATTAAAAGACCGTCAAAACTCTTAATACAGTAATATAAAATCTATTTTCTTAATATATGATACACCTATATTACAGTATTACAGTATTTTATTCCATATTCCATTGCATCCTAGCAATAGGCAACAGTGTTTACTAAATATACATGAGGTATCAATCTTTATTCCAGCAGTAGTATTCTTCAACAGTATAAAAAGAACTGGTGATAAGAAACTTCTTTAACGCCACTTTAAATCCAGGAATGTCATAAGATAATTGTTTAAGCTCTGGAGGGAGGTGGTTATAAAGTTTGATACCAGAATACCATCCACCTTTCTGAAATATCGTTAAGTTTACCAC